CTGAATACGCATATTCAGTCCATATAACTAGAAACACAGAGACAGACAGTAGAAATTTAATTTTCTTAAACCAACCTTTTAAGTAACAGAAGATCGTGACCGAAATTATAAGCATGTTGAAAAAGACAACAGTTATCCAGGGCATGGCGGCAACAAAATGTCGAATCAAGAACAGCCAAATAATGGATAGAAACAGAGGGATAAGGCCTCCACAAACAATCAATACTGGCCATGACTTGCCAACATCAGCCACATAACGCTGCGATTGTACAACCACAAAGCTTAGCACATTCTTCAAAACCATCACTAAGAAGAGTTTACATGTCAGGAGAGAAGAGTTTCATTCTCTAACCTTTAGAACCGAGGCCCGAGAATTCATTGCCCCTCGGATCGATTTGTCTATGATCATGTCATCTTGAATATTCACACCGCCCATCTGCTGCCAGTGGCGCAGGGATGAATTCGAAGCACGAGCAATATATTGGCAGCTCCAATAAACTATAAAGAACAAATCTTGTAACAAACCCGTAAATAATACAAAACAGAAAAAAGACTAAACTTTGTGCATATAGAATGCTCTCTTACCATTCACACTAGGGAATATTACAGGGTAACAAGGACCCTGAAGCTGAAGAGACGAATTCCTCATTTCCGGAGTTAGAAATTCAAAGTAATCGTAATTCCTGTCGATCCAATCATTCATCTTGAGACGAATCTCGCCGTCAGGATAATCACAGACCCAGTTGAGAGTATCATCTGAAGGTTCAGGGCAATCCAAGAGACAAATAGTCCTAGCATTAGCCAATTTGAGCTCTCCATCTTTCAAACCACTCTCATAAACTTGGTTAGGGTTTAACCAATATCTAAGCTCAAGTTGAGTAAGGTCACGGTGACGGTGCTTGCTACCACACACATTCCCTTCATAGTCCAATCCATAAGTGAGTCTGCAAATAAGACATAACCCACTCACGATTCTCATACACTATCCACCAAACAATTAGCTCAAAATGGATAATGAAGAAGGTTTTTAAGCTTTGCACAATCAAGTTTATGCATATACCAAATCTTTCCTAAAGAACAACAAGAATAAGAAAAAACTCTACTTTACCCTACAAATAGTACTACAAAGATACAAACTTTGGCATTATAAAAGGCAAAATCAGCTAAACATGGAGGAAGAATTGAAGACCCCATTTGAGGTTTAAGGAGGAAACAAACGAAAAGAAAGAGATTTTTGAGCAAACTCCATCGAATCTTTTACCTTAAGGGGTTTCCTTGGTTAAAACCAAAGCTTGAATTGACAATCATTGAAACCCAAAAGGCAATGAAGATAACAAGAAACGTAATATCTCTGCACTTTCTGTTGTGTTTGATGATCCCATCATTTGGAGCACTCCCATCACTTGAAGTATATCTTCCAATCACAGCTCCTAAAGGTCCTCTCATCTTTGACACAGCTCTGTCTCTTCACTGTCTGAAATGAAAACCCTGGAGACCAAAAGAAAAGGAATTTCG